TCGACACTTGGCCCTTGATTAGCTCTTGGCTGAGGCACCTCGCCGTCATGCACCGTGTCCTGGGCAACGATGCCGGCTCCAGCAGCCCTGCTGCTCGCACCTCCGTTCCTCCTCCTGCCAACCCGCCTGTCGCCGACCAGGCGTCCGTCAAGGACGAGGCCGCCAGCAACGCCGACACCAACCCCGACGCCATGGACTACGATCAGGCCGTTCCTCAGCCCCAGCAGGCTCCTGTCAACAATGGCACTGCTCCCGTCAGCGAGAGCGGCCGCGACAGCGAGCCTCCTGCCCCTCAGCCCCGCCGTCCTGGTGTCGCCACTATCAATGGCGGTTCCGTCTCCGGAACGCCGGCTTCCGTCAGCCCCCCGCCCCAGCAACCGGAGGTCAAGGCCTCACCCGAGGCCGTCCCCCAGCCTCCTGTTGGCAACGGCACTGCTCCCAGCGCCGAGCCTTCCGTTCCTGTGCCTCAGGACATGACCGCGAGCGAGCTCTGCTCCGCATTCGAGCGCCAGCTGTTGGAGTTGGACGACCTTGCTGCCTTCATGGGCGGCGGTGTTTAAGTGGTGAATCTCAGAACTCATGGTGGGAACAAGTCTTTTCGAACAATCGGTGCAACTTTTCAAACATATTTCGGACCGGCAACTGTACAGTACGACTATACCCTGCGACTGAATTTTCGGCATGATTACGGTGCCGTGTCCATATTGGGACCATCTTGCTACGGCCTGGGACGGTACACGAATTGGAGGGCGTTGGCAAGAAGGGCCTCATCTCCCACTGAGCAGTTGATGAGCGCGGCTCTGGTGCAGAGTAATTGAAGCTTGGCTCTGGCGTTGGAGGTCGGTCAACGGTCACGACTGACCAGCTCTACGGAGACGTTGACATTCGTTTTTGATGCAATGCGTGGTATATCCAAAGGGGGGTTTAGGCTGCTTGCCAATTGGTGCCCATTCTACCAAATCAGGGCAGACGGCGTTTAGGAACATTGCTTGATAACTTTTAATCGTACAACCTTTGTGGCACTTGCCGTCTCGTATGATGCTCTTTGCAACGTGATGCGAAAGATTGCTGAGGCCTGTATGCCTTGTCGTGGGAATGTACCTCCCACCTTGACAGGGCTTACCTGTGCATGTTGTGAAGGAAGCGTCTTCCTTTGCGGAGTAAATTCGACAACTGTTTCATTGTCATCCCTTCGTCCAACATTTCCGAATGAGGTGAACCGCCACAAAAGCATCGCCCTTTGAAGTGCGACTGCTTGCGCCGGAGTTCGGACTTCGGCTGAATCCTGTTCCCGGCCCACATCCGTGCGCCCCCCAAGCCAAATACCAGCGCGCCGCAAAAAAAGTAGGTCATCACTAGTCCTGCCGGGCGGGGTAGGCCTCATTCGCGTCCAAACCCGCCTGTCCACCCTACTTATGCGTCAACGTCCCTCGAGACCCAGCCCCCAACCCCGGCGGAATTCGCTCTGCGTTAATTGTTCTGCTAATTCCTCACCTTGCTCGATTTCCCACCATTCCCCTTTTCCCTCTCCTGCAGCAAGCGCTCTTCGAAGGTGGTTTGAACGGCATTTGTGGAACAACATCGACTCTGAAGCCCGGTTTTTTGTGGTGACGCTGCGTTTTGGCGTATTGGATCATCAATCACCAGTCGAGAACGCCTGGTTAGGGGTAACACCTCCTGCGGCCACAAAGCTTGGCTGCGAGCGAGCGCGGGATCCAGGGTGCGTTTGGTCGACCGCAAACCCGCCGCCGGGGACATTCCATTCCGCGAGGACCTGGGGGTGTGACGGCATTCCCGGCCCGCTCCCGAGGAACATGGTAAAACAGAAAGAGACCACCACACTTACTTACTGCCCCCAATCCCGGATGCCGACGGGGGATATTCACGGCGACGCCGGGCCCCATCCGGCCGGGGCCGCCGGCGGAGGGATCGCGGCGCCTTACGGCCGCGCGTGCACCAACTGCTCCCGCGCAAAGTGCAAATGTATCCTCCGCCCCGCGGGCGGCGCCTGCGAGCGGTGTCACCGGCTCAACAAGACGTGCCAGCCGAGCAACCCGCAGCGCAAGCGCAGCAAGAAGCCGCCGTCGAGCCGGACGGCGCAGCTCGAGGAGAAGCTCGACGGGCTGGTGACGCTGCTGCGGCAGTCTGGCGGGCGGCCGGAGCTCGTTGACACGGCTAACATCTCTGGCGTTGTCGGCGGCGGCGGGCCCGCGGGGGTTGCTGCGTCTGCGTCGTCGAGTAGTCAGGACGAAGCTTCGGGTGCCGCGGATGGACGGTATGCCGACCGCGGCAGCAGGGACGACGGAGCCGGAGCTGGGGTAGCTGGGGCAGCGAGGGGCACCTCGTTGCCGACGCCGACGCAGACGGCCAGCCCCGAGGGCACGGGGTACGGCGACGGGGACGATTTCCTGCCCTCGCCGGACGAGGCGGAGGCGCTGTTCGAGTCGTTCCGGGGCCAGAACCTGCGGTACTTCCCGTTCTTGCACTTCCGGCCGACGATGACGGCGCGGGAGCTGCGGAGCGAGAAGCCGTTTCTTTGGATTTGCATCATGACTGTCGCGTCGCGGGTGGCGAGCCAGCAGCTTGCGCTGGGGACGCGGGTGAGGCAGATTGTGGGGCAGAAGCTGCTCGTTGAGAATGAGAGGGGTATTGACTACCTGCTTGGGTTGCTGGTGGTCTTGGGATGGTGAGTGTCACCTCCATTTTTGGTGATTGACTGATGCTGATGTATCACAGGGCGAATCATCAGCTGGGCAACAAGCCGTTCATGTGCCTGTTCTGCCAGATTGCCATCGGCCTCGTCTTCGACCTGGGCCTGAACAAGGACCCCGTCGACGGGATGAACCCCTTCCTCTGCTGGAAAGCCGCCCAGGAAAGGGCCGACAGAGAGAAGAATGGGTCCACGGCGCCGGCCAGCCTCTTCCTCAAGAACCAGCAGCCTCGCACGATGGAGCAGCGGAGGGCTGTTCTCGCGTGCTACATGGTCACATCCAAGTATGTGTCTCTTGCACTTGTGCATCTCCCCGTGATTTTGCTAACAGAACACAGCGTCGCCAGCTTCCTTGGCAAGATGGATCCCCTGCGCTGGACGCCACACATGGACGAGTGCCTCCAAATCCTCGACAGTCATGTCACAGTCCCCTCCGACCAGGCCCTCGTCGCGCTCGTCAGGATGCAGCTCCTCAAGGAAGAAGCAGGCCGTCTATCGTGGCGGCCCGAGGTAACCTACGACGCAACAGACGGCTCCCGCACACCGCCGTCAATGTACGTCAAACTCCTCCAAGGCCAACTACAAAAGATTCTCCAAAACCTCCCCACCGAACTCCAGAGCTCAGGTTAGTATCCCATCCCTCTCCCACCTCCCTCATTCTACCCGAAACTAACGCGCTCTCCAGACACAATCATCTCCCAGCTCCACTGCGCCGAGCTCTGCATCCAAGAAATCGCCCTCTCCTCCAAAACCAACGCCTGCGTCCCCGCCAACCTCCCCGACGTCGCGCGCCTCGACATCCTCTACGCCTGCCTGCACGCCGTCAAGGCCTGGTTCGAGCACTTCTTCACCCTTCCGCCCGCCGCCTACTACGCCATCCCCTTCACCTTCTTCGCGCAGCTCTCGCAGTGCGTCATTGCCCTCTACCGCCTCACCATCTTCGAGGACCCCGTCTGGGACCGCACCAGCGTGCGCAACACCATCGACCTCATCGCCACCCTCGACGAGGTCGGCGACCGGTTTATGAGGGTCTGCAGCGAGGCCGGGCTGAATATAGATGTGGAAGAGGGCAACGCGTTTGCCAAGGCCGTCAAGACGATCCGCGGGCTGAGGGGCAACTGGGAGAGCACGTTGGGTCCGTTTGTCAACCCCGCGACGGCGGCGGCGGCGGCTGTGGGGCCGGTGCTTGGCGCGGGGGTGCCGGCTGGGGTCGGGGAGGTGGAGTTGGGGCAGTTTGGGCTGGATTTGATGGACAACCGCTGGTTCACGGACATCTTTACGCCGTTTGATTTCTAATCCGGGGGAATTAGCATTTTTGCATGGGCGATACTTTTGTATGAGTACACGCAGGACGCGGACTTGGGGGAGTTGAATTTGGGAAGCGAGACGAACATGCATACGCCGCTCAACGGGCCGGCTTTGGGGGGCGGCGGAGACATGGACATAAGCCCGGGATTGTGAAATGGGGGTCTTCATGGGTTAGTAATCAGGAAATGCGATATTATCCGGGACAAAAGTCCCCTTCTGCTTTCTCTTGTTAGGTCTTATCAATCTTGTCCCGCTGCATGCTGGCGGGTGTGAGACAATGGCTTGCTGACCCGACGGAGTTCGCCCGAAAGCCGCATCTCAATCCCATACGCCCGTCCGCCTGTCAGTCAGCCATCCAGTCGCTCGCTCCTCCAAAAAGAGTCATACCAAAAACAATCACGGGAAATGCCAGCAAAGACCGGAGCTGAGATCCAAACCTGATGCCTAGCGGCTGTGTTGTTGCTGCACCGGTCGTAAATCTGGTGCCAAAAGATCTCGTAAGCTAGTAACGTTCCGTCGAGCCAATCGCGTGCGTGACTCACCCACACCTTCCACACCAACATGGGCTGATGTTCAGATGGGTTGGGGTTCGTTCAGCGCTGCAGGGCTGGACTAAAGGCCGGGGTTAGGATGAACCCCGCAGGTGCATGCGGCACGGCACAGGGGGGGTCAGGGGCCCTTCCTTATCCATGTGTTGTTGGGGCGGAAGAACGGCGTGTTGGTGTGGGTGTTGTTTGTCCGCTCCCATATTAGGCTGCTCGAGAACGATTGGAGATTTGTTTGCATTTTCGCGTGCGTTCGGGTTTGGGGCGGAGTTGGGAGTTGAGGCGGAGGAGGACCTTGCAGTAGCCTCCAGACAAGCCAGGCTTATATTTCACGCATCGTAACCGTGTTGGCTTGGCGATTCTTGTCCTCCATCACTGGCGTTTTGATTTCCTGCGGTATTGGGTTTGCCTAGACACAGCATCTAGAGGCTTCCGACATGGATCGACCTGTTTCGCGCGGCTCCGTCAAGGAGCAAGGCTTGAGGGATGGTTCTGCCGCAGATACGTCACTGAACGAGAAGAACTCGACAACTATTTCACCGCATCCGTCTCATGAACAGGTCACAGAAATGAAGGATGACGGGGGAAGCACGACAGCCGATGGCAGTGACGAGGCGCCAAAGGACGAGGAGTACATCACCGGCATCAAGTTATTGCTTGTTCTTGCTGCGTTGACAGGGACTACGTTTTTGATTTTGCTGGATATGTCCATCGTCGTCACAGTAAGTGTTCTTTTTTTTTCCCCACTGGCGAGGAGTTGGTAGCTGACCTGTCCAGGCTGTGCCGCAAATCACTACAACATTCAACTCCCTCGCCGATGTAGGCTGGTACGGCGCAGCATACAACCTGTGCAGGTGAGTAATCTGCATGGTCCTACTCCATCTCAGCCTCAGCCTAACACGTCCAGCGCTGCGCTACAACCCTTCGCGGGAAAGCTCTACACGCACCTCCGCTCAAAATGGATCTACCTCTCCTGCCTATTCCTCTTTGAACTCGGCTCCCTGATCTGCGGCGTCGCCAAATCATCCAACATGCTCATCGTCGGGCGTGCCGTCTCTGGCATGGGCTCCGCAGGTCTCTACAACGGCGCGTTGACCATCATCGGGAACACGGTGCCCTTGGCAAAAAGGCCCATGATCATTGGAATCTTGATCGGACTCGCCAACATGGGACTCGTGATCGGGCCCCTGGTCGGAGGCGCCTTGACGGAGTACTCTACCTGGCGGTGGTGTAAGCCCCCCTTCGCCATCTTCAACAATCGATTTACTGACTGTGAAGGCAGGTTTCTACCTCAACCTCCCCATCGGCGGCGTCGTCGCCGTTCTCCTCGCCCTCATCCACATCCCCGACAGAATCTCCGCCCCACTTCCCCTGCTCGAAGTCCCCCGTCACCTTGATCTGCCCGGGTGTGTTCTCTTCATCCCATCAGCACTCATGCTCCTCCTCGCGTTGCAATTCGGTGGCAATGACTACGCGTGGAACTCCTCCGTCGTCATCGGCCTCTTCGTGGGTTCTGGCGTCATGGCCATCCTCTTCGTTCTCTGGGAGCATCACGTCGGAGATGAAAAGGCGATGATACCGCTGGGGATGCTCAAGAAGCGCGTCGTCTGCACGAGTGCGCTGGTGGGCGGGATCAACATGAGTGTCACATTGGTGGGAAGCTATTACCTGCCGATGTACTTCCAGAGTGTCAAGGGGGAGACTCCGTTCAAGGGTGGTGTGGATTACTTGCCTACGATCTTGGCGCAGCTGATTTCTGCCGTAACTTCTGGTGCTCTTGGTAGGTTTTCTTCGCTATCAATGGAGAAGAGAAGACATGCTGACTTCAATCGCAGTTGGGCGGATGGGATACTATCTTCCATGGGTTTTCATCGGCGCCGGCCTTTCTGCGGTTGGAAGCGGACTCATCTCGACTTGGGTGCCTACGACAGCAACCGGTATCTGGATCGGATACCAGATCATTCTCGGTATTGGCCGTGGCTCAAGCATGCAAATGGTTAGTCTCCTGATTGACTCCCTGAACGATTCTCCGCTAATGGTAATCTCCAGCACATCATCGCAATCCAAGCCAACCTGCCACCCTCATTGCTATCCGTCTCGATGGCGACGCTGGTATTCGCTCAAACGCTCAGCGGCGCAGTCTTCCTCACTTTTGCCGAGCTCATCTTCACTGAAGGGCTGGGCAAGAACCTGGAAAAGTACGCGCCTTCAGTCAACGCTAAGACGATCTTGGCTGCTGGAGGCACAGGGTTCAGGGAGGTTGTTAGTGCTAGCGAGCTTCCTGGTGTGGTGATGGCGTATTCTAAAAGCATCAGCGAGGTGTTTTATCTGTGTGTTGCGCTGTCGGGTTGTGTCTTTATCCTGGGATGGGGCATGGGCTGGGTTGATATTCGACAGAAGAAGTCGGAGAAGAAAGGGGACGTGTGAGGGTGCTTAAAGTGTTTAGCATCACGTTCTAACTTCTGTTTGCGTCGGAAAAGGATACCAAGAGTTGTTGCATAGATGGTGGGGGAATAGGTTGGATTGGATCCATTACACCAAGGCGAAAGGGGCGTACGCCGCGCCAAAGCATCTCCTATCTATTATTAATGTAATCATAACCACTCTAAAACCTTTGTCTTGAGTCCCCCAAACCTGCGCATGGAGTTCCTGTGTATACCGCCGGGTCCTTCCGATGATGCTACTGCTGAACCTAGAGCTTCTTCTTCTCCGCGCCACTCTTGATCGTCTTCAACGCCGCAAAGGCCCTCTTCACCTCGACCGAGCTCTTGACCAACAAAAACAACGGGATGACGATCCAGAAGGCGTTCATCAGGATGTAGTAGCAGTAAAAGTAGTAGTCCTCAGGGCGGCAGTACACGAGCTTCTCGACAACCTTGTCGAACGTGCAGGTGGTGTAGTAGAGCACATCGCCGTACAGCTGTCCGAGGCTGATGATCATCTGGAACGGGTGTCGGAGCGGTCGGTCGGTGGCGATGAAGTAGGCGCAGGCGAAGGACATGGGGCCCCAGAAGAGTGCGGTGATGGACTCCATACAGACCACGAAGGAGTCCTGGGTCAGGTAGCGCGAGTCGGACTTGGAGTACTCTTTCCAGAGCTCGCCGAAGATGTCGGTCATGCGGGGCATGTGGGATTGGTTGTAGGCGAAGTAGCCTAGTGGTCATGTCAGTATTGGTGATGTGATGTTGGGGAGGTGAGCAAGAAACCTTCAAAGAAGAAGTGGATGAAGCCACAGAGGACAAACCACAACGCCGTAGCAACTTCGCCATTGGAGAGACGTGGGTTAGTCCGTCGGATGATGTTGTACGTCGGGGCGAGGACGGCAATCGTGCCGGCAGCAAACGTGCTGCAGAGAGCCAGGGCGCCGAGCTTGTTCTCGACGTAGCCCTTGAGAGGGGCATCCAGGGGGAAGTACGGGTGCAGGGACATCGTAGCGTTGATGATGGCTTCGGCGGCCATCTTGTCTCGTGTCGTGGTTGGTTTTCTGAATCTTATTACTCGTAACGATGATACAGCTGGAGTGTGACCGGTGGGATGGATGATGGATGTTGTTGTTGAGATGTAGTCGGGTACAAATACCGTTGAGAAAACGAAGGAACACCACGACTGAAAGCTGCAATTCGGAGCGCGGAAGGTGACCCACTTTGGCGCGTCCGGGAAGCTGCGTTCCCGGATCGGCCCATCAGCTCTTTACCTTGGGCGGTTGCCAAGTGTTTGTTAAAACGGACAATTTCACTGGCTGAGAAGCGGTGGCTCAACAAGCGAAATTGCATCGCTCGTCGTATTCGTGTCAGAAAATGCCTTGACCAGCTGAATCACCAAAGATCTTTTGGCCCCGGGGTGCGGAATTTGTTCAATCGGGGGGCCCGAGAGTCCGTAATCCGGGGGTTCACTGCCGAAAGAACGGATGCCAAATGACGCGCCCGACGCGGAGTAGCCCCCCGTATTTTTGATGATGGGCTATGCCGAAAAACGGGCCGGGCGACCAAATAGCGGTCGAGAGCGTTTACACTGATAACAAGGACTTTGTAACATGACCAGCGTAGTCGGTAGCACCGATTTTGCGTGACAGCCTGCTTATCGCCGACTTGTACGTCATCTTGTGGCCCCTAAAGCTTGCCTTTCCTGGCCATTGAGCTCGGCATACACGTTTAACAATTGACTATGATTATAGCTCGCAGGTGAAAAAAGGCTCCTGGTTAACGCATTTTTGGAGCTATGGCCCTCGTTAGAGATCATCATAATCGACCGTTCCTTTCTGGAAGCTCGGCTGAATGAAACTCAATCTGCCTTGCTTCGATCCTAGGTTCGCTCCTTTCTCTACTCCCAACAGATTGCATTTTCTCTGGCTTGTGAAATATGAGCACAGCCTGATTTGCTGTGCCTTGCGAATGCCGCAGGCTGCGCCTAGGCTGAGACAGGCGATGTCATGAAGTCTCTACACACTCCAATGATTTGTATTAGACAACGATCTGCTTACTGTTACACACAATTTGCCGAGTTCCAAAAATAGGCTGCCGGCAGATTGAGTGCAATCGAGTGGCTGACGATACAGTTCTGAAGGCGCCCTTTCATCGCGAGGGATGACCGACATATTAATACTGCAGCCATCCCCCCTTGTCGAGCTTTGTATTCTTGTTCTCATAACCGCCTCAATTGGCATCCTTGCGCCGCATGTGAACATATATTTCCTACGACGCTGTCCCGCAGCTCACGGCCGTCAGCTGCGCATTTACACCGTTTGCTCGAAGCCAGCCCCGAGGGATCGCGCAAAATGTATACGCCAGTTCACCAAGACTTTGGCGAATCTCAAGAGGCGTTAGAACTAGGGGACCCACGGAGCAAGGCCATCAGTAACACATGTTCACCGAGAGAGAGTATTTCCAGCCGTGAAGAACCACACAGAGCGAGAAGTTACAGATCGTCACGACGTCCCAAAGATTGGCCACATCTGCGCGCCTTGGGTTGCTCGGCGCTCATGACGAATACTTCAATCAGGAAGTTAGTCTCGCCACACCATTTTTCGCCGCCGTCTCAAGCTCACTCGGCTAGTGGTTCATGGATGAAGAAGACTCGAACATTCATTCCTCAGACTCGTTGGCAAAAAGCCGCACTTGGATTTTCCATCGCCGCGTTTTTGACTTCACAGTCAACGTTATCTTCGTTCTCTGGGCAACAATAACTAGACGAGATACACTGGAGAACGGTATCGGCATCATTTCCGAGCAGGGCTGTTCGTACACAAAGGGATTCAATACCGGCATTCATGTGGTTATCAACATCATGAGTACGATTCTTCTGGCTGGCAGCAACTACTGCACGCAATGCCTCATTGCTCCAACTCGTTCCGATACAGATAAAGCACACGCAAAAGAGAAGTGGCTGGATATTGGCGTCCCAAGTATGAGAAATCTGTGGAGTATCTCGAGAAAGAGGCGGTTGCTTTGGCTTCTATTATCTGCATCATCGTTCCCGTTGCATTTACTGCAATCTGGCCTCGCCATTCTCAGTTATTGAACTTTGCTAACAAACATCTAGCTACAATTCCATCATATTTACATCGACCTCAATGAATACCTACAATGTCTTTCTGTCTCCCTCTGAAGTAATCAGAAAAGAGAACAGCACTTTCATCCCTGTCGATGCTAAAAAAGTCGTCAGCCTCCCTGACTACATCAATCGAACTGCGGATATAAACAAGATGTACAATGCTGTTAAGCAAGGCGCTCTGGATCCAATCAGCATTACCGATTGTCTTAACGCCTACGGGACGCCCTTCCAATCTTTGAGGGGAAATCTTCTTGTTATCTTGGAAGGAGAATCATTGTCCGAATACGAAAACTCGTTCAACGAAGAGAAATTGCTTCCAGAACTTGGCCAAAGCGGCGGAGTATCTCAGCCGTATGCGTGGATGTGCCGCGGGGACAGCACAAACACCTGTGACGACCAGCTTGTGTCGTTCAAAAATGGGTCCAAGCCCTGGGAGCCCTTTGACTTAAAGATATAAAAGTGTCATAGCTAGAAGACAGATGAGCACTGCAAGCTGCTCTTCAGCAACTCGCTTTGCTGGGTAGTAGCTGCGCTCAACTTACTTAAAGGCACCTTAATGTTCCTCGTTGCGTTTAGGAAAGACAAAGCACTTCTGTTAACAATCGGAGACGCAGTAGCATCTTTCATTAAAGATGTGGATGAAGCTACTCAGGACATGTGTCTTAAAACGAAGGCTGACTTTTATATTAGCGACTAATTGAATATTACGACCTGTAAACAAGGATAATAACTAAACAACCTACTTAGGCGTTAGATAGCTAGAATAGGATATTTATACTATAGGATTATAGGAATAATAGGAACTTACTTAGGATAGAAGAACTATAGTTATGAGTTATATAATAATAAGATAAGGAATAATTAGTAGAATATAGGAAAGAATATTTAGTAATTAGTTAGTATTACTAATTAATTATAATTACTTATATATTTAAGTAATTACTTAGATATAAATAAAAATATTATCTAGAATTTATACATAATATAATTTAAGCTAGCTTTATGGTTAAACTTCTATAGCTTTTTAGTAATTAATTTTATTGTTATTCTTAAGATGTTTCTAGTTTATTTTCACTATAAATAACTTATAAAGTTTAAAATTAATTATTTTAGCTTCTAAAAACTAATTTATAATAAGGCTTATAATTTATAACTTAAATTATAACTTTAATATATTATTATAATATATTAATCTTTAGCTTTTATTAGTAGATTTTATGATTAGATAGCTAATTACAATATTTTAATTATTTCTATTTAATAAGTTAACTATTAATATTTACTAAATAGTATAAATAAAATATCTTTTTATATTTCTATAAAATTATTTATTTTAAACTTCTCCGTTAGATAAATAATTCAGAACTTAGCTTAAAAACTTAATAACTATAAAATAAAATAAAACTTAAAAGAAATAATAATAATAAAAACCTCAAGTAATAATTAGTAAAAGCTAATAGCAGTATTAAGTAAATATAAAATATATTTAATAAAAGCGCTTAAGCTATTAATAAGTTTTAGAAAGCTTTTTGATAAGTTATTTATTAAGTAGCTTAATTTAAAAATAAAAACTAAACCTTTTAAGCTACTATTAATATTATTATTTCATTTCTCTATAGAGAATAATAAAAACTTAAGCTTAGTATATTTATTATTTATAATAGAACCTCTGAAACGTTTAAAAGAATTAAAAACTATTAAAACTTTTACTATAGAGATTTTATTAATAAAACTAAGAAATTAATATATATATATAACTATTTATTTTAAGAGAAAAGCTTTGTAATGGTTTAAATTTATCTAAAAAGAATATTTTGAATATAAAACCTTTAATAAATATATTATAAAGCCTTATAATATTTATACTCATTTTTAAAAGTTTATAAATATATTTTAATTACTTTTTTAGAACTTTAATAAAAAATAATAAGCTAAGAGAAATCTTTTATAATTTTAATAAACTAAATCTACTAAAAACTATTCTATTAACTTTAGATAATTTAGCGTTTAATTCAACATTACTAAAAAAAACTAAAATATTTATATTTTATTAAAACCTTAAAAATAAAATTAAACATAAAATTATTAAAGTAACTAACTTAATAACTTCTTTTAATATATTAAACTCATTATGAAAATTAATAATTAACTCTTTAGCTAATATAAAAAATAAAGCAATAAATACTAAAATTTAAATTTAAGACATAAATACTAATAGTAACTTTAATAAAAATTTAATAGCTAATAAAATAATGATAACCTTTATAATAATTAAAATAATATCTAATAAAACACTACTTATGAATAGTATAGTAGACCTATAAACCTTAGTATAGCTACTAAAATTAATAATAAAAAACTTTCAAATTTTAAACATTATAACTATCAAAAAATAAAATATATTACTAGAGACTATGAATAACTTAGGAAATTTAACTAGAAATTAATACTTAAGTAAACTAAATAGATTAATATAATAACTAAAACTTGAATCGCTCGCGTCGAACGCCATAGTGGCTAACACACCCCAGGCAATTATGTCACTCATCTATCTCAATTATAACGCTCTTTACACCAGCACATCCCTCGCGACTGAGTGGGATCGGCTTAGGAAAAACGAAAAAGGCCTGCGGGTATCGCCTCGACCAAAAGGTGCCCAGAGAAGTACCTACTTCCTCTAGTTGCCATACCGATACTCGCTTCCTCTCGTGATATTTTCCGAAGGGGTACACTGGCTGATTTCCCAGAGCATATTTCTTGTTAATCTGGAGGTTTATGCCCCTTCCGAGGATAATGTTATGGATATTATCAAAGCAGCGGACACAAAGCTAAACAACGGTTCCGACAGGGCCAATTTTACTACGTGCGGATGGTCGCCAAATGGTGTGATTTGTGTCATTGCGGCAGGACTGGTCATGATAGGGTTTTCTTATGCTTCAGGATTTTGAAAACTTCGAGATGGAAAGATTCCTGTAGCCAGCAGCTGCAGTGCGGCAATTGCTGCGGCTTGTCATACATCCAAATACGAGGCCAACGCAGGGGAGAAGCGACTCAAGTGGGGTGTCGTTGTGGAACCACGAGAGACACCAGGGCACTGTTCCTTCTCGAGCGAACCAGTCGGAGAACCTATGGATGGTCAATCGTATGCGTGATCTGACGATAAGGAAAGACTACAGACATTTTGGGCACTCAACATCCGCCGATTTCTTTCAAGGGTGGCGAGAGTTTGAAAAGGTTACCAGAACAATGAATGAAAGACTACCTAGATTCTCCAAGGTAGGAGAAGGCAAACAGGTACAGCCTCAGTGGATCGAACTTCAGGCTTCAGGGAACAGAGAAGATGTTGTACTTTAGTAGAGTTAATCTTTCCGTGCACTTTTTTTTCTTCTTTTTTTTCTTTTTGGATATCTTCATGAATTGTCTTCTGCTCAGCATTTCGTCTAACAAGCTTCCTACGTCCGTTTCCAAAAGTCAAGATCCGACTAGCGTTTAAGTTTATACGCCATGAGTAACATGTCCTGTTCAAGCTGCTCAAGTTGTTACAGTCCATATTAGCGACGGATTTGCAAACATTTTGGAACGTCCTGCATGAACTTACCCGCTGCCTTTTGCAATACAAATTGTGCCGCTGCAGTAGCATTTTCCGCGTACGTCAGATGGTCCACAGTGATAAACCCTCCCTTACAGACCGCATCATCGTCGTGGCAAATAATCTGGGTCTTACCATCGGCCCCAGGGATGGGATTCGGGTATCCGGGGTCGCCAAAAGTCAACACCGAATTGATCTTAGCCATTGTCGCAGGCGGAAGCGATTGCGTCGTGCTGCGGACAACTAGGGCTCCTTGAGAGTAGCCGGATATGGCAATCTTGGAGTTAGGGCAGTTGGTCATGGCTTTGTTGATGAAGTTGGTCCTTAGAAGGCTTAGTTAAAACTCCAATCGTAGACACCACTTGTAAAAGCTCACTTACATGCTGGGCACTCCATCAGTCCCATTGTTATTGAACCCCTCAAAGATTGCAGGGTATGCAACACCTTGAATGTTGATAGACTTGCCAGCCGCTTGTTTCTTCAGAGCATCGAAGAAAGGAGGGCCAGTCACGAGACCGACGTTTCCAGGCTCGGTTGTTCCACGGGCGAATATGACAGTGATATCGGCACAGGTAGCATTCGGCGCCAAGCCGTTCTCGGTCGTGTCAATACCGACGGCGTCGGCAAGACTTTGCTGCAACGGAGTCAAAACCAGGCCAACTGCATCCAGGGCAGCGGCTCCCGCTGGGAGTGTGCTGATGAGTCTGAGGAATTGGTTCAAAGGGCCGGATGGAAACTTGGCCAAAGCATCAGGAATATCTTGTCTCGATTTGAGGTGGAAGTTGTGGGGGGGCACTCTTCGAAGATCCGTTGAAAGGTCGGCGCTTTCGGAAGCAGGTAGTCCACGAACAAAGCTTGCGGAGTGCAAGGCAATGGCGACGATAAAGGTCAACAGCCACCTGGTGGTAAAAGCTGCGAAGGCTTGGGACATTTTGGTTATGTTCTGAAGACGGTGAATTGAACGAGTGGCTTACCGCTGGGAAACCTGCAAAGGGGACACGAAGAGGATATTTAATTGCGTTGCACATGAGGCCGTATAAGTAAACCGCACTGGATGGAATTTTTCCAGCTTTCCAAGCTAGGAAATAACTAGTTCAAGCCTACTGCTCCTGAATTCTTGGACGTTAGTCGAGGGCGTTGTCGCATTAGCCTTCGCCTTTGTTGCATTGGCGTTCGCCTTTGTCACAATCAGCCGTTGTCTTTGTCACATTAGAAGCTGTGCGCTATTATATCGTTATGATATACACCCATAGCTTGAGCCATATAGTGGAATTCCGCATGAATTGCTTTTTCGGCCTTGGTGCGGTAGCATCGGCAAATTGGGCTGAACAGGTCGGGAAAATAACGGTTGCAATGGAACCTTCTGCGTTGCCGTCAA